CCCCCCCCCCCCCCCCCACCGCAGGTCATTCTGTTACTCAGTTTGCATCCATACTTGTAGATTCTGCCCGGCCCTCTGCTCCTGTCTTAGACTCCATTCAACACGTAGGGTCTTTTTCTCCACCTCCTCCTCTCCATCTGCCTTCTCCCTGTCCCTTCCCGGCAGCCTGACTCCGGCCGCGTCTCCCCCGCTGACCCGACCTGCCTGTGTCCATTTGGCAGGAGCCACGGGCCAGGGGGCCCTCGCTCTTCAGCGAAGCCGCCGCCGGGGCCTGGGCTTGTAGCCTTCCTTCTAGAGCGCTTCTCCCCCAGCTGCTGTCTCATCGGGGTTGGGTGTTCGTTCAGTGGCCGATGTGTGCATGCTAGCTCTGTGGCAACTGGTGTCCTATTTAATTTTCATCCGGCCGACGGCGGAGAGGAAGACGCCTTCAGCCGACAGACGGTTGCGCTCACAGGTTACAGACGTCGTCAGGCAGAGCTTGACTGAACTGCTAATAGATTCACAGGCTCCGGGAAGGAGGTAGAGATAAACACGGATTATTCAGTGCTGGCGCTGTGGTGTGCGAAAGAGCGGGACCCACCTGCGTGATGGGGACCCGGGCGTAGAGATGCTCCGGTGTAGCTGGGCGCGCTCGACATTGACCGCCAGGCTCCGCCGTGTCCCCACACACCTGTCGTTCCCTCTTCCGCTCGTCTCTCTGCTGGATGAGCATGTCCTTTCCTGTGGTCGCTGTTAACAAAGGACCATAACAGTCATCTGCTTAGAATAGCAGAAACGTGCCCTCTCAGTATCCCAGGGGCGAAAGTCTAAAATCAGCGTAAGCTGGGTCCGCAGGGGGCGCGCTCTCCGCGGGCCCTGGGGCTGCCCCCTCCCCACCTCTTCTGGTGGCCCCTGGCGTCCCTTGGCTTGTGGCCACCTCCTGAGGCCGTGCCCCGCTGGGCACACTGCCTTTTACTCTTCCTTCCTCTCCCTGCCCCTTTGCGGACACAGGCAGGTGTGTGCAGGGCTCAGCCGGATAATCGAGGACAGCCTCCTCTCCTCGAGACCTTGAACTTCCTCACCTCCGTGAATCCCTTTTCGGCCATTAGGAGGACACTTACGTGTCCTCGGGATCAGGTGGTGACTCCAGTACCAAACCAGAAGTTCATTTACTTTTCCAACCGACGAAACAGATAGGAGCCCCCCCTCCTGAGCCGCATGTCCTGCTCGGACCCCTGCAGACACAGGCCAGACCCTGTGGCAGCCCTTCCCTCCACCCACCCCACAGGCCTAAGGGGCCATGACGCATCACGCCTTCTGGTCACCTTCTCCCAACACGGTGATCCAGCCCCACCTACGGCCTCCGGGACTGTAGCAATCTCTTCACAGGAGGGTCTCTGTCAAGCAGCTCCAGGCGTCAGTCAAGACCTTGCCCTTGAAGCCGGGCATCTGAGTTCCCCGACCTGCTGGTGGTGGATATTGGACCTGGGCGCACCAGCCTCAGTTTCCTGTCTTGTGAAACGGGCGTGACTCCGGCCCTGCCCGGGGTGGGGGTGGGGCATCAGCTGATCATTACTCAGCATCGGTGTGTGGGGAGGGGGTGCAGGTAAGCGGGGCCAGCTGCCCAGGCAGAGAGCACAGCCCGAGGTCGGGACATGCATACACTCTGCATTTCTCCTTCCCTCTTGGGCCTCGTTCCTGTGACTCCGTCTGTCTGAAAGCCTCTGTGCCCATGTCTGTACTTCTCCGTCCATCCCGCGGTCTCCGGCTACGTGGACGCTGTGTGTGCTGTGCTCTCTCTGTTGTCTTTGAGCATGAGGATTCTCTGACGTTCTCTTTCTGCCTCAGTTTCCTTCCCTTCTCTGCCTGTGTGCCTGTCTCTCGTTCCTGTCTCTGCCCCTCACTCAGACGAGAGTTCTATTCACAGGGGCCTCTGCGGTCTCTCGTTGGCGCGGCACCAGGAGATCACTCATCACCTTCGCTGCCCACAGACGCCTGACAGACACCTGTGACCCAGTTCAGATGCCGCAGATGGAGCGCAGTCCTGAGCGATAAGAGAACATCAAAGCTTCGATTCGCCTGTTCTTCGTTATCCACCAAATGCAGAGGGAGAATCAGCTGCGGATTGAATCCCCTTCGCTTCTCATGGTTTTTATTCACCGTGACATGGTACAACTCTGCTCAGCCACTGACACAGAAAACAGCACACGTCACCCCTACCTGGGTCACAGAGCCACCACGGGACCTCGTCTCTGAGCCTCAGCTCCTCCTTCATAAGATGTGTGTCCCCAAACTTCCCCCGGTGGGAGGCATTCGGTGTCGTTCTGTCCTCTCCATCCCCATGTCGACGTTTGGAGGTCTTTGTCTCGGGGACGCTTACTCTTTCCAGGGTCCCAGCTGACCTTTCCTCTGCTTGTCACTATAATAATTCTCTCTCCTCCCTCCCCTCCTTCCCTTTCTCATCATTGCCCAACCACTGTCCATCCTTGGGAACCGCAACTGGATAGACTAGGGCTCCCAGCTTTGCAGATGAGGAAGTGGACAGAGGCCCCTGCTGGCTTGGATCACCCTGAAAACTTGCAGCACAGAGGAGGCGACCCTCACCCGTGACCCTCAGTGCACAGCCTCTTCTACTGACTCTTCTTCCCGCCCCTGCAGCAAGGCCAGGGTTGTGTGGCTGGCAGTATAGGAGCCGGCATCTGTCTCTGATGGTGGGAAGGCCTTCCGTGCTTTAGGATGATGGGGAAAACGTAGAGACTGTAGGCCAGCAACCCCCACAGCTCACTCACCATGGAGAGGGCATCGGTGTTTGTTGCTATGGTGACAGAGTGCCTCCCAGACACCAAGGGCAAGAGACTCACCCCTGCCCCCACCCCCACCCCCATCTTGCCTCAGGATGACTTGGAACCGGCCCTCGAGCTCTAATTTCTGCTTCTTTCTACAAAAGTGCTTCCTTATTGCTCTTTCTATAGGGCTGCTTTCTCTGCTTTTGATCTCAGTGGCATGAAGTGGCCACCAGCTGCTCCCAGGTTTATGTCCCTCCGTCTCAAGAAAAAAGCTAAGGCAGAGGCTTAACCCCTCAATCCCATGGCTGTTTCCTCAAGACCCAGTTTGGGTCAAGTTCACCAATAGAGCAATCGGTGGTGGCCAGGGTGGGTGGGTCATGCTTCCTGGCTTCCTGGAATGGCTTTGTGGGTCTCTGTGGCTGTTGCCAGGCAGAAGGACATCAGGAGGGAGAGACTCCAAATGAGAGTTTAGAACAGCACCGTTTCACATTTATTTAACAAACATGAGGCGGCCACTCATTCCCCATGTTCCAGACATGAAAGTTGGTCTTTAGCTCTCACCGGCTTTTTGGTCCCTTCGATTTTTCTTGGTTCAGATGCCCCCACTGTCTACAGAAGGGGCATCTGTCTTGATGTTTGCCTTCCCAGCTTCAAGATTTCCGTGCAGAGGTGAGAAACTCACCTGTTTCATATTCTGCCAACAAGTAATACAGATGGATTTAATGGAGAAAACTTGGTGAAAGATACATAAAGCCCAGTGGCCAGTCGCTTCCTCACAGTGACCCCGGGGGGCAGGTAGGTGGATGCTATTATCTAGTTAGTCTTGGCTACTGATGGACATTCTTCATCCACAGGGTCGGTGATAATGGGAATTTCCTCCAGCTTTGCCATCTCCCTGTATTAGCTATTACCCCCTGGACACAGCAAATGTGCTTTGAGCCGAGCTGAATTTTTATTGAATTTTTCTCTAAGTGCTATCTTATTTGAAATGTCTTTCCTCATTTTCTTTAGGGACCAACAGGTAGCTGGATTTTGAAAGTGTATACCACCAGGATAGCCTATTATCAGAGGCCACAAAAATAGAGTGTAAATGGTAGGCCAGGCAGACTTCAGAGTTATCTGATGCCCACCACGGGCATTGAAAATCATGATTTACGTTGTAGCAAAACCCGAGGTTTTCTCTGCCAGAAGTTTATAGCTGTCTCAAAGTTTTATAAATCATAACTCAAGGCATGTGAGGGCAGAGGGAATAAAATGGAATGAAGTCATCTTCAGAGGCTGGCGCGGCATCTCAGGGTTTGCTGCCTCTCCTGGGACTTTCTGGATGTAGACGGATTGAGTATATAATAAACCACAAGCTGTGTGGCCAATATGCATGAGCCTTGGGGCTCCTTCAATATTTCTCTACTGGCAGACCTTCACATTGTGCAAAACACAATTAGTTATCGTTGGGTTTGCTTTCTCGTTTGTCTTCACCAAAGTTTTAGGAGTTCAGTGTTTACCCTCAGAGGTCCCTTTTTCATTAGATAAGATGACACTGTAACTGCGTTTGTTGGAGGAGGTGACTTGGCTGAGGAGATACCACAGTGGCTCTGTAGGACAGTGGGTGCTGATTCCAGGTGCCTCACTTCCGATCTCGGCTCTGCCACCGGGCAGCCGCTGTGTTAACCGGACCAGCCAGCTGGTAAGGAATGCAAACCGCGGCACACACGTCTCCTAAGAGAGACACCGCACAGAATTGGTCCGCACCGCGGTGGGGCCAGCAGGCACGTCAGAAACCCACAGCGCGCCCGTCAGGATTCAGGACAGGAAAGCTGGACAGCAGCCAAGACTTCCGTACACACGTGGGATTCTTCTTTCTTCAGGGAAACCTCAGTTCTGCTTCTAAGAACATCTCTCCACATCAGTACTTTGGTCCAAACTATAATAGCATCTTTTTTCCCCCAATTCCTCAGGGCTTTCCTTGTGGATATCTTATTTATTTGTGTTTGTTTACTCTTTCTTGTGAGCATGGATTCTTCTAAGGGGGGGTGGGGAATCTATACCATTTGTTTGTTTGTTTGTTTATTGATCATCTTGATGTACAAAATAGAAAAATGACAGAAGTATGTGTTCAGGTAAGTCTTGGTGCGCAAATGGATGAATGGATGAATGAATAGATGGATGAGTGGATGAATGGATGAGTGAGTGAATGAATGAATGTGTGAATGATTGGATGAATGGATGAATGAGTGGATGGATGAGTGGATGAATGGATGAGTGAGTGAGGGAATGGATGGATAGATACATAAGTGAACGAATGGATGTGTGAGTGGGTGAGTGAATGATTATTCAAGTGGATGAATGGATGAGCGAGTGGATGAATGAGTGAGTGAATGAGTGAATGGATGGGTGAGTGAATGGGCAGATGAGTGAATGAGTGAATGAATGAATGGATGAGTGAATGGATGGACTAGTGAATGGATGAATGAGTGAGTAAATGAATGGATGTATGAATGGGTGGATGTATGAACGGAAGGATGATTGGTTATAATTCTATCTAAAAGGAGAAAAAAGCCCCACACATTTATAACATGCCAATGCTTCACCTTCCTTAGCTCCATTACCATATTTTCAAATTTTCACTACAAATTTTCTGTGTTCTTGCCCAGGAGTTGTTAGTTCCAAATTTTTATCAAATAAAAACACATCCTCTCTATGTAGAAGAGAAGAAAAATAGAGCTTACCATATGCATGTTTGAGAAAGTCAAGTTGAGCACCATGATGGCATGTGCCACGTCCCTTCGCACCTGTTCTTTCTAAACCCTATACCCTGGTACCTATCAGGAGTGGACTATGAAAAGATTGGATAAGCAGGACCAGAATTTCAAGAAAGAACTGTGCCCCTTTGGAAATAAAGAATGTGCCTAAATAATTCATTGACAAAATAAGCATTCTCTCTGTCAAAAATATCCAGTCTAAGACCCATGGAATTAGACTCCATGTTTGCTTTTGGTTTTGCCCATCTGGGAGTAAATTTGCGTGTCCCTTTAGGAAATGGATTTGTGTGCAGGAATGTCTATATAATTTTTAACCTCCATTGACTGAAAGCTCCATAGGGTAAGAACTCTATCTTATTCACCAATGTTTATCACACAGAGATACTCACGTGTATGTAGGATGGATGGATATTAGGGAAATCTGTATGAGTCGGCTGGAGCTGACATAACAAAATACCATGGGCTGGGGGGCTGAAACAATAGAAATTCAATTTCTCAGCAAGGTCCAAAAGCAAGACACTCCCAGGGGTGGTGTCTGGTGAGGCCTCTCTCGCTGGCTTGCACATAGCTGCCTCCTGGCCGCGTCCTCGGGTGGCCTTTTCTCTGTGCACACGTTCAGAGGAGGAGGTCCCTGGTGTCTGTCCCTTTTCTTGTAAGGACACCGCTTCTGTTGCTTTGTGGCCTAATCACCATGTCCCCCTAGAGGCCTTCTCTCCAAACAGTCCACCTGTGAATTTGGGGAGACACAGTTCAGTCCAGAACTCTGTCCCAAGATGCAGCGAGCTCCTCTCCCTGTGGGCACATAGTCTTTGCCAGAACGTCACCGGGGAAGGCCCTGCTGTTGGAAATCTTTAAAGAGGAGCGGACTGGTGTCTGGAGCACCCTTGTTGAAGTGATCTGACTTGGGCTTGAGACCTTGGGGGCTGTGGTCCAAGCGTGGCTTTGCTTCATGGAACTGATGGTCCGCCGTGAGCACAGACGGCGGTGCGCAGCGGGCTTGGTGGGCTTCCTACCGGATGGGGTATGGCTGCGAGTCCTGCCCGCGTAGGGCGGTAGCCAGCTTAGGGGAAGAACTAGTTGACGCTTTCTGGAGCTCTCACTGTGCGAAGCACTATGGTAAGCAAGTTGGATGTACTCACTCACTTAACTCACACCCGTTTCTGAGGTAGGTAATACTATTTATCAAGTGATGTTATAGATACATAACCAGAGGGGCAGGGCCGTTAGGTAACTCATCCCAGGTCGCCCAGCGGGCTGGTACTTACGGATGCTTGCAGGTGCGGGAGGTGCCCCTCACCACCCTGGGCATTACTGAATTTTCAGTGTGCAAGTGTAGACAGAGGCCATTCTCAGAAACTAGTGGCAAAGTACCATTCCTGCTAACTCCCCATCAAAGGCATCTGTTAGTCACAGTGAGCTTTTTTGAGTTTTCAAAAACACTTCTGTGTTTAACCACATCACCTCTAAGCCTGGTATTATTTTTTGTTTTGTTTTTCCTTTTTTTTCCATTTCTTTGAAGCTCTCTTCAGGAAGGAAGAAAAATGTGATTTCCAGGGTGTGATTATAGTGTAAGTTTTGAGAATCTGTCTTTCTGACTGGAGGCGGGGCTCCTGTTTTTCCGTTACTGGTAACTGTATTGTTTGCCAATTAACCTTGGCTTCCGGAACACCAGAAGCCAGCCCCACATCAGCAGCAAGGGTCCAGATTGTTTTTTTCATTCTTGGGGAGAAATAGTTAAAACCACTATTGCTGCTGTGGAAGGTAGAGCCTCCCGACTTACTCCATAATAAAGTTTTCA